CACGATGTCAGTGCTCTTGAATAGTAAGAACGCCGCTTGATGTTGAAATCGACGCTTGCAGTGGTCGATGTCTCATCGTCTTACCTCTGCCTGCTGAGTTCGCGCAGGTGGATCCGCCCTGGGCCGTCACCAGCAGCGCAGGCAGGGGAGGGGCGGCATAAGGCACGTGCCCCCCCCCCTCATGAGGTCCCCAAGGGCCCTTCGGGCCAATGTGGACCGGCCATTAAGGAACCGATTTTGATGCTCGAAGGGGCGCACAGCTCACTTGAGGTTGTATCAAGGAGCCTGCAGTGCCGGACCCTCAATTGCCGGTCGGAGGACCCGGAGGACCCCGCGCTGATGAGGGGCACTGGAGTTAATGACGGCACTAACATCGATAAGGCACAGGGCCTGAGAGCCCATTTTCCGAGCAGGGCAAGGTCGGTACCGCAGTCTGCACTGGCCGGTGCCTCTGAGACATTTAGGGGCCTCCTGTGTCCGCCGTGGGCTTACAGCGCTTAACAGGAGCTTCGTGTTAGCAAGAGGCCCTGAGTCGGGCAGGGGCAGTGTTCGAGGGGGCCCGAAAGCAATCCCGACCCGTAAGGCTTTGGCTTCAAAGGTCAGTTGGGGGAACTTTGGCACCGAGTGAGGACTCCTTGGGACAATAGCGGCCTCTATTTCGACCACAGGCACACAAACATCTAGCAATAACCAACACCGAACAGTTAGCTCTGTGCCAGTCTGGGTCTTATGTGCCCATTACCCAAGCAGGAGCAGGGCCGGGGCCCGCAAATTGTATTGGTCCGGGTGCCTGAACCAGTAAGGGGGTCTGTGTGTGTAAGGGACCCATAGTACCCAACAGGGGGTCCTGTGTTGGCAATGAGCTCCGAATCGGCCAAGAGAACATTTGCTGGACAGGGACATGCACGTGACCCCGAATGCTGGAGGGACTCCTGCACTGACCGCGGCCCTCTGAAAACGGAAGGAGATGTGATAACTTATGATCAGACTCAACAATAAAATAATGGAAGGGCCTTGTGTCTGTCAGGTCCCCCAGCACCGAAGGCTGGTCCTCCAAACCATTTTAGCCCAGGGGCCGTTAGGCCGAACTGGGGTCTTTGTGCCAATTAATGGGACCGCCTGCAAGGAAAAGGAATCTGGTCGCGACATTTCGGGGTTCTGAGTCAATCCGAGGCCATCTGCCCGCTTCAGAGACTCTCTCACCTCAGGCAGGGGATCAATGTATGACGGATTCCCCCCAGGGCGTGCGGGTTGACCAGGAACCTTGCCCCCGTGTCGCTGGGGTGACAGCCAGTAGGCACGCGAAGCGAACAGCCTTGAACGCGAACAGCCACGTGTCCGATAGTATTCTACTCATGGTGTCTTTTGAGCTGAGAAAGGTGCCCAGTCTCGTAAGTGTTTAATGAGAACGTGTGGAATGATGCCAACCAGGCGCGCAGCCAGAGCTTTGGCACAGACGGGCGCATAGTTAACGAAGGACACCCTGATAGTAAAAGCCCCACCCCCAAAAAAAAATCGCAGGGTATGGTCCATTTATTAATGAGGGCATGTTTTCCTTTGATATTACTCATTTTTACCTTCTATAACTGGAATAGAAGCCAGAGGCTACCGAGAGACTAACTCTGCCTGAATTTTATGGTCAATAACTTGAAAAAAATCATGCGTAAACGACTGCATGACATAAATCGCCGGGGTCCTTCATTTTACAATGGTCCAGCATATTTTTTCTACAAAAAAGTACACTTGGAATCTTTGTCAGGAACTGAATCTGGGCTGTACAGGAATATTAAGGACCCCACGAATGTGAATAGAAATGGGTCAGCAATTTGTACTAATATGGCTAAGTAATGTTTATCTGACAATGTTCAAAGCACAGTTTTTAACCGATTAGTCACACAAATTATGTTAACTAGTTTCAAGCAAGAAATGGCAACAAACCCCGATGCCGGGCGTTGCAGTCTCCATTGGCCGCGCACGTTTGGCCTCGTGGCTAACATTAAGCTGTGGCCAACGGGTTGACGAAAACGACACATTTGAAAAGTACTGTTGTGTAGGTGATTAGTTGCCCTCTGTCCTGCCAGCATGGTCAGCGTCCTGGTGGCACAGTGGTTTAGCGCCTGCGCTGTAAGCGCGTACGCATTTCTTGACGGGTTCGAATCTCAAGAGTGGCGGCCTTTCTTTTGCAAGGAGACCTTTTATTTTCGCGTCTGTTCTCGAAGCTACGTGGTCACGTGACCCGGCCAATCACAGGACAGGGAGTAGGTCATGCCTGGGGTCGGGGTCGGCGGTGGATCAGTGGTGGTCCGGGCGGCGCCGGGGAAGGTAAGTCAGCTCTCGTTGAAATTCACGACGTAGCTGGCTCCTTTCCCTCCGCTCCCTTTAACTGCCACTCCGGTCCTTCTACCCTCAGCTCTCGTTAATATTCATGACCTAGCTGGCTCCTCTCCCTTGGTTCCCTTGACTCCGACTCCGGTTCTTCTACCCTCCGCTGTCGTTGATATACACGACGTCCCTCAGCGTGTCCTTGTCAACATTGCTATTCACGATGTTGACACAGCTTTAGTGGCCGTTATTGTTACCGACGACTGCTACCTCCCCTGGGGATTATAGTCGCCATGTACTCTTACCGAACACGGTCTAGCGATGTGGGAAATTTTGATGACTTCATGCCTATATGCTCCTGTGATTAATATACCCTATTTTGGTTAAACGCCTTTGGTCCACTAGAGATTAAATCGAGCCCGCCCAACATAACAGTACTTATGAAGGCTTTGAGACATCAAATCTTACAATTAGAAGGTAGTTCATCGTATCTTTTGCCTGTGCAATTTTAAGATTGATGATAACGAACGGAGAAGGCTGCGCGAAGCAGTATTTTAATCTGGAAATGGAACTGAAAGTGTAAAGATAGAATTAAAATTTTTCGTATTATTTTAGCTAATAATCTGTCCGGCAGGCAGCCTCAAAGTTGTAAAAATCTTGCGCCCATCTTTAACGGCACGAAAATGCCACCCTTGATGGTACGAACATTTTTTAGACCATTCGGATCGGGTCGTCGCCTAGTGTTGCCACAAGGCCGGAGCTGCTCGACGTCCGGGAACTGCAACGCCTGGACTCGGGTTTTATTTCTAAGACTGGCGAGCACGCATGTTCAAAGCTGTTTTACATACCTTTTTTCGGTAATCGATCCTGGCTGAAGGTTAAAAGGCAACTTCCCCTCCCGCCTGCCGGGCGCGGCTGTCTCAGACTCCCAGCCGGACGGGGATTAAGAAGCCCATGGGGCATGTCTGTTGCGGTCCATGTCCTTAATACAACTCGAAATGACTACTAGAATCTACCCTATAGGGCAAGCTCCCATGTAAAAAGCGGATTAGTTTTGACCTAAGTCTTACCTTTATTCCTGACCCCAGTTCAATGGAATTTTTTGTCATTCTAAACTTCATTGTTTGTTTGCCTGAGAAACTTTGTCAGAAATATGTGACTTCTTCTACTCCATTGTCGCATCAGATTGAACACTTCCCTAGAAATGACCTTTGCTGATAACCGCGGTGTAAATTTGATCAGTCATTGGTCGACTTTACGAGGTACATCTATTGTTTTGCACCAAAAGATCCACTGCCCAATGGCCCGCAGCTATGCAAAGTTTGAAGGAACCCCACCCCAGCTTATGGTAACGGCCGCTTCCTTCAGTTTAGCAACTTCAAAATACAAACAGATTGTCATTTTTCTGTGGCTTCTGGGTCTTGTTCCAGTTAAAGGGAATGCCGACACTTGAAGATATTAAAGTAAGCATCGGATGTGATGAAAAAGCACACTTCACGTAACGTTTGTATGACGCTGAGGTGCTGTCAAACTTACCGTGCGAAATTACTGCCCTAGCACCTACCTAATGCTTCAGCTTGCCGTGACATTGCAGTGACGATGCTGGAAAGATTTTTCGGGCCAAATGTCGTTATGGGCGCGTGTTTTGGCCTTTTTGCGGTATTATTTGCGTATCTATCCATGGCTTTTAGAAGTTCATTTGCATTCAAATATTCGGTCATGACGTTATTCTTAAGTTTGTCGATTGTAAGTCTTATTTCCGTAATAACTAGCAACCATGCCTAACTCCTTGTACTATGTAGCACAAAGCGTGGTCCTCTAATTCTGTTCGTTGCTCAATCTTGCATCCTCGCGACGCCCCGCTTGTCCGGGGCGGGCTGCATGCGTCAGCCACGAGTGGGCCAAGACCCCCTAGGAAGGGGACCCCAACCGAGTGCCCAGCGCGCACCCCGAGGCGTCCCGCGTGGACTAATGCTCGGCCGTTGCCCCCCCCCCCCCCAAGGCGCGTGTATGTAGTCCTGTCCCACTGTTATCCATTTTCCTTCATCACATAGCCCTGAAATGATCATGTCTGGCCGAAAGGGCTCGAGTTCAAACAACCAATCGGGATTGAAACTCGCACAGTTTGCTCATCATGGCTTCACAGCCAGTTAACATCCACTCTGCTTGGAAATCGTGCTCATGGACACCAGATCTGGACGGCCCGACGACATCACTTCCGCTTGGCCTTGGACGCCGCATGGCCCATGAGGTGGCAGAATTTGAGCGGCGTTGCTATGACGTCACGCATGGCTGATGTCTCGCAATAGATTCCGCAGAATAGTCCACTCGTCTTCGCGGGCTTGTAGCTAAAAAAATAGAGGGTTTTAAGTCTCTAGAAGAGTAGGTGAGTTGCACCAAATTATCTTCATAATGGCTATCTCAATTCAAAATCGTACACAACAGCGGGATGCTGCCTCTGCAGAAGATAAAAATAGACATAACAAATAATAATGCCACCTCGATATGAAGCTGGCCACATTCGGCTATGTTGGGTAAATTGCGGGGGAGCTTTTGCAGTCAGGTGGCCGTGTGTCAGCTCTGCCGCCCCCCCCCCCCCCCTTATCAAGGCCCTGGCCTCGCCCCTGGCCGCCGCGGTGCAGCAGACTGCGGCCTCCCTCTGAGCACTTAAAACAGACAGAGCCGGCGCGCAGATGGCAGTGTGCTGGGCAAACGGTCGAGAGCAGGTCACGCAGTCGGGTAGTGAAAAACGAGGTAAGTCCTCACATGCATTCCCACTGAGAACTCCGAAATGTTTTCGCTGATGGGTGGTGATCGGTGATCAGTGATCAAGTGTGATTTGGATACACTGGTCGTCGGTTGACACCGTATCCTCTGTGCCAATGTGGAGGTGCGAAGGGTAAGCCGCGAAGGCTAGGTGCGAGGTGCGAAGGCTTTGCTTATCACAATAATCGGCTGCTTATTCTTGTGACGTCATGCTGACGTCATGCCGCTTCATGTTTGTGTGGGATGGAGTTTGAAACCCTTCCGGTATGGCTGAGTGTTTGCGTAAGTATGCTTCTTCCTTTCACTGCTGTGGTTAAACAAACGTGGAACAAAACGGATGTAGCTAACGGCAAGTTAGTGTTTATTGCCCCGGTACCGGTAATGCAGTGGGCAATCTGCGCATCTTAGAAGCCGGAGGTACGGGGTTCGATTCTCCGCGGGATGCGCCCTTCCTGCCAGGGTGAGAGGCAGGCGACGTCATATAGCCTCAGCAGCTGAGTGCGTCGCAAAGCCCCAGTAACAAAGAGCATTTAGCCTAGGGAGCTTAGGGAGCAAGAGCACCTCCCCCCCCCGCCAAACTGTCGTTTAGCGAGCTATAGGTCGTTGGAAAATGATTCGTGGCCGCGTGGTCGGTGGTGGCGGGGAGAGGGGGGGGGGGGGGACAAGCATGTCGCACAGTCGCATGGCACCCTCATACGCCGCTGGCGGTAATAATTATGACGTACATAACATTGTAATTAGTCTTCGCTAACAGCGGCGCTATACGCTACATATAATTGATCATCTTCTTCCGCAAATCAGCGAGCCTGGCCCGCCACTGGGCTTTAGCTCGGACAGTGCAGTGATGAAGTTCCATCAGGCGTCCACTGCTGTAACACTCCCAGGTTGCGGCGAATATCCACTCCGCGCGAGGGCAGACGATTGCAAAAAGTTGAGGTTTCTGGACGGTGTCGCCGAGCTCACAAAACATATTCCACTACAAGAACTTTTGAAAATGTGCGATGTTGTGATGCGATGCTATGGATGGCTTGGTAGGGAAGGACCACACAAGTATCCGTCTACCCCGTCTGGATTGTGGCGCACGGCTTGTGAAGGCTGCTGATCTGCCTTAGCTGGGCAGTGTCTCAAACTTCAGGGGAAACACTCATGGTGGAATATGAGTCGCACGCCTTTCTAGACCCAGTGGCCCGCCAGCGGCCTGCCTCCGGCATCCAAGGTCTGAGGGAGCGTGGACAGTGGCCTGTTGGACTTTCTGCATGTGCTCAGAATAGGGTCGCAATATTTCGGATCTGTATCATGTCAGTCTCCAAACTCCCATCTGATCCTGATCAGGTTCTGTGTGATCTGAGAGCCACGCCTGAGATTGAGAGGCCTTTCCTACCGCCCGGCAGTCGTGTTTTTACAGTGATAAAGTGTTCTGTGATGACCGCCGTCGCCGGCTGTGTTGCAGACCGAAGATGCCGGCTCTCAAGCTGATCTACTTTGACGGGATGGGCCGGGCCGAGCCGTTGCGCTGGATCCTGGCCGCCGGTAACGTGCCCTTCGACGAGCAGAAGTTCGGCTTCGAGGAGTGGCCCGCCGTGAAGCCAGGTCAGCGAGGCGATGAACGGCAGACGGACATGCCGGCAGGCCGAGAAACGGACAGCAACAGGCGGAACAACTCACACAAAAACAAACCGCCAGTAGGGTGTCATACTGATTCCCGCTCTTCAATAAAGCCGTAAATCTGGGCTAATCATCGAATGACATCACGTAAGCTAAACTGTATGTACCTGGAGAGATCTGCAACTCTTATCTGACACGCCAAAAGGTCATGTTGTCCACGTGCGTTTGCTGTGGGTTTTAGTTTGGAAGTGGAGTTTGCATAGTTTGTCCGGGTGCACTTACGGTAGTTTTCCGACCCTTTTCCTGGAAGGTACGCCCGTGGATTAAACTGCCGGGTTGTCCGCTTGCAGGCATGCCTTACGGCTACGTGCCTGTCCTGATGGTGGACGGCCAGCCGTTGAGCGAGACAATGGCGATAGCGCGGTACGTCGGCACCCTCGCGGGCCTCGTCTCCAAGGATCCGCTGAAGAACGCCTTCGGAGACGAGGCGGCGGACACCATGGCCGAGGTGGTCACCAAGTACTTCGATGTGGTGTAAGGCTAATGTCTCCGTCATCTCTAGACGTGGTGCGGGGCGGTCAAGGACGCATTTGCGAACATTCTGTTTGTAGCCACCATAAGTCACTCGTAGCCATGTCCATGACCCCATTAGCGTCAGCTACGTCGCCTCTTACCACTTCTCTACATCACCCTCTTCTGGCGGAAAACCGATAGCGGTAATGGTGTCTAAGAAGTTGAGACATGGTGTGGGTGCTGTACAGGGGCTGCAGTTCAAGCCAGGTGCGGCTCTCATGATGAGACAGATTTGGGGTTTACCAGAGAGTTTTACCAGACAGTTGTCTGGAGGGTATCGGGCCTGTCATGCAACCATTTACGCTCACGGAGTGAACATTGTTATGGACAATGGGAAGCAAACAACATTGTTCTCTACCGGACGGTAGTGAAGAAGTTGATGCAATTTGGCAGAATGGGAGCCCGCGCTACATGTGATAAAGTAAGCGAGGAAATTATCGATGCTTCGCAGTAATGAACCATTGTGCAGCCAGTAACTGCCAGCGTGCGTTTGGCTTATCAGATGCGTTAGAGCTCACATCCCTACCGAGATTTGTTCCGCCTTACACTGCCTGAAAGGCTCTTCAGCTCTGTGGCAGGCGCTTTTGCCATTTTTATAATGAATTGGAAAAGGAGTACTAATTTTGATAAAGAATAAGATGAAGTTGAAAGATTTGTAGCACTCTTTTGGCCCTTGTGTTGTCTTGTGTCAAAAACAAAACACAAATCCGTCCACTTGGTGTTGCTTGTCTTTTACCGCTGCTATTGACTAGCTTCAGAATATAAAAGACCATTGCTCGAAAAAAGTGCGCAGTTGTCAAAGACATCTTCATTCCGGCTAGAGCACAAGATTATCAAGAGCACACGTGCCTAACGAGCACCGCCCAGCCGACTTGATGCCTAGCGAGCGCTGCCCAGCTCACTTGGTGCCTAGCGAGCGCTGCCCAGTTGACGTGGTGCCTAGCGAGCGCTGCCCAGCTGACCTGGCACCTAGCGGGCGCCGCCCAGCTGACCTGGTGCCTAGCGAACGCTGCCCAGCTGACTTGGTGCCTAGCGAGCGATGCCCGGCTGACTTGGTGCCTAGCGAGAGCTGCCCAGCTGACCTGGTGCCTAGCGAGCGCTGCCCAGCTGACCTGGCACCTAGCGGGCGCCGCCCAGCTGACCTGGTGCCTAGCGAGCGCTGCCCAGCTGACTTGGTGCCTAGCGAGCGCTGCCCAGCTGACTTGGCGCCTAGCGAGCGTTGCCCAGCTAACTTGGTGCCGCTCAGTTTCTCCGCGTCACGTGACGTTGCAGTCCCAGAGAGTGACACCGGAATCCCTCGGGGCTCAGAATCGGGCTACATAGCTGAAAGATGCGTCCATAGCCGTAACGGTTCATTTCACAGGTCTGTTTGCTTCACCAGTTCGCCGCAGTTTGCTCCCACTCCTTGTGTTGCTGGGATCCTTCGCTATCACGTGGCGCATGACAGCGCGTTTTTATTTCAGGTTTGGTACGGAGGAGCAGAAGAAGGCGGCTGGAGTCGAGTCGCCGTTCAAAGAGTTCCTCCCGGCCCTGTTTAAGGTCTGGGAGTCGAGGATGAAGGGGGCGTTCCTCGCTGACGACAAGGTGATTGATTGGGACTCGTGTCTCAGGATTTATTGGGACTCTTGTCTCAGGTTCATGTGTTGATGTGTATGCGCCATTGCTGGAGACACCCTCTCGTGGCGCAGCGCACGCACACGTCTCAGTTAGACAGAGAAATGCACACGAGCAAGGTGCTCATTTGCGCACGACATAACTTACGCGCATTTGAATCTCACTAGGTCTGGTGCTCACTTTTGGCTAAGAAAAACTTTAACCGGCTTAGTCCTCCATCAGGCGTAGCGGTCTCAATGGCTTTAAGGGTCACATGAAATTGTACAAACCTGAAAATTACTGTCATTATAAGAGCGCGTGGTGTTCACCTGCTACCCCATCATGTGAACTGTACCTAAGGCCTGTGGACCTGACATATGGCCTTGGTCTGTCACCTGTGAACCCGAAATAAGGTCGCTGAACCTTGCCTATGACCTGCGAACCTAACATGTGACCTGCAAACCTGGTCTTTGGCTTGTGAACCAAAGCTGTTCTCTTTGAACGTGACCTGTTTACTTAGTCTGTGCCCTCTGATCCTGACCAAGAAACCTGACCCTGTTTGTGAACATGTTACAGCCGATGTGGCAGGACGTGTTTGTGGGCCACTGGATCTCCCGCCTGGAGGAGGCCCAGCCCGACGTGTTGTCCAAGTTCCCCAAGCTGGCCGGCCAGAAGAACAAGGTGCTGGCCCTGGACGGCATCAAGAAGTATCTGGCTAACCCACCAAAATACAGCCTCCAGCTTTAGAGCGGCCAACGCAGAGCGTGCCGGACCTGCGCGCGCCGAACGAGAGCGCATGCGCACTGCGTGCTCTCTGCGGCACAGAGCGGTGACATGGTGTTGTCCTGGCGCGCCAGCGGCCACGACTGCTGTGTGCACGCTGGTTATTTCTCTGCCTCAGCCAAACTGGTTCACGGGCGTCACCCAGGCGTCAGATGGAGCATTGTTCTGTCACCGCGACACATGAATATAATTATGCAACCTGGCATTAGGACATTGCTTTTGGCTTCAGAATCACTGACTGCTATGAGCGTGACAACTATGCGCTGTTCGTGCTCAACAGCGGTAGTATTGTAACGTGGCTAGCGAATAGTCTTGTGGATGTGTGTGGCACTCAGGGAGCCGTTGATTTCGGCACCAGAGCAAACCAACGTTGGCAAATTACCCTTCGGTTCTAGCTTTGCGAAAAGATTGAGGTAAGATAGTGTACATGCTAACGCACCAGACGGGGACGATACTCAGAACAATTATCCCATCCGTGACACTTTGACTCGTTAGGAACAGGGGACTTTGCAATCAGCGCTTACGTTTACTTTACTACTAACACCGTCATTCAACTTTAGCCTTCGGGGTAACTTTAGCCAAACTGTGGTTCAGACCTTGAATCCGTCATGTACATGTCATGTCTCAAAGTGGGGATTACAAACTCTACCCGCGTGAGTTACATTCTGATAAGACTAATTTGTAGTTGAACAGCAGTAATTTGGCCAATCAGAAATCATTATTTTGCGGCTTCAAACACTCTGTTCAAATTTCCTCAGAAATGGGGTGAATTTGATGATACCCCTAGACAAGTAGGAAGAGCTAACACAGCAAAAGTGGGCACTTCTGTACAACCTTTTAGGCTTCTGCTGTCATGGCCCACTTAGTATTTCATGATTTATTGTTTCCTCTTTACTGGAGCTTCGGCTAAAAGTGAGGAAGGGTGGCTAAAGTTGGTATCATGCAGACTTTAGCCACCCCTGTTTCCTTGAATGGAACCTTGGGAGGTATGATTTCAGTCATTAAGCAGTGGATACACAAGTGAAACTCTACATAATGCTCTACATAACCTTTCTGCGTTTTTTTTTAGTGTCATGATCTTTCCTCATCCATGCGTTTCTGTTCCAGGCCAAAGCCTAGTCCATAAGGTATCCTGCTATGCACCATGCCTCATCCTCATCCCTAGGCAAAGAGGAATGGAGTGTTTGTTTTCCCAGATGCAGAAGATGTTGCCGTCATTGACGCATGTGCTGTGGTTGGCAAAATCACGAACATCGTCCCCGACCGGCGTGGGTCCAGATGGACCCTGCCGTTTTGGCTCGACAAGATCGTGTGAGACAGTTATTGTTATATGTGAGTGAGACAGTCATTCTATTGTTTGCATTTCAAGTCTAAAAGTTACAGGTTCAGTTTCAAGTTAACTGATTCAGGTTTCTGGTAGAACATTTGTGGCAGCTTGTGACATTAAGGCTCAATGTCACAAATAATACACATCAGATTGGTTCCCGACGTTGGTCATTATTTTTAAAAACTTTTTCACTGGCTTAAGTTAAACAGAGCTGACCTATCTTAACTCACGGCCCCAAAATTTTCATGAATCCTGATAAGTGACTTTGGGTGGCTAAAGTTAGTTGGGATCCGGTTAACTTTAGCCACCACACATTTAAAAAAAAAACATCATTCAACAAGCAGAGCCAACAACCTGTACATACCAAGCAAAAGAACCCACCTCTCCACTAGTTTTCCAACCAATAACTTAAACCTGCTGGTCTCAACTAAATGAGGCATAAACAATATCTAAAAATATGCTTAAGTTACCCTGAATGACGGTAGTCGTCCCGATAAAGGCATGTAACCTAAATATCACATCTCTCTCTCTCTCTCTCTCTCTCTCTCTCTCTCTCCTCTCTCTCTCTCTCGCTCTCTCTCTCTCTCTCTCTCTCTCCTCTCTCTCTCTCTCATCTCTCTCTCTCTCTCTCTCTCTCTCTCTCTCTCTCTCTCTCTCTCTCTCTCTCTCTCTCTCTCTTCTCTCTCTTTCTCTCTTTCTCTCTATCACCACGCTTGTCTCACCACGCAAACCTCAACGGGCATGGCATTGACTCATGACCAGAATCTATTGCGCACCAGCGCTGTCCTGGGGCAGAGAGGGAGGGTCGCTCCAGACCACAGCACACCTCCCGCGCTGCCGGGCTCATAGCACTTCAAGGTCCCGCGGCGCGTCCTGCCTATCAACGACAGTGACTCGGCGTTTTCCACCCGTACACGCAGAGCCAGGAGCGGATGCAGGCATTAAGGTCAAGAGGGGGGGGGGGGGGGCGCTGTGTCATGGTGTTGCCGCCCAGTCACCACAGGATGCCGCGCGTGAGAGGGAAGACGCCGGCTCATGTGACGAATTGGCTTGGGCGCCGCTACTGCGCCGGAGCGCCGTTACACGAGTGCAGAATGCCCTCTGTCGCCCGCCGATGGGCATGCTCCCTGCCCCCCCCCCACCCCACCCCTCCCCCACCCCCCACCCAAAACGCCGCTGGCCAGCACTTGCACGTAGGAGTGCGCGGTAAACCCTTGCAAATTCTGACACGTCATTTTAGCTATTTGTATTTGGTCAACGGGCGTGCATTGCGGCAACATTTTGAGAAGCCACGCTGGCCGAAGTGGCCAGGCCCATGACGAGAGCGAGGACAGTTAGCTGGCCCAGACCATGACGAGAGCGAGGACAGTCAGCTGGCCCAGGCCGCTGGCCCAGGCCCATGACGAGAGCGGGCACAGTTAGCTGGCCTAGACCATGACGAGAGCGAGGACAGTCAGTTGGCCCAGGCCGCTGGCCCAGGCCCATGACGAGAGCGAGCACAGTCAGCTGGCCTAGACCATGACGAGAGCGAGGACAGTCAGCTGGCCCGGACCATGACGAGATCAAGGACAGTCAGCTGACCCAGACCAGCGGCTGGGCCAGCTGACCCGGCCGCTGGCCCAGGCCCATGACGAGAGCGAGGACAGTCAGCTGGCCCAGACCATGACGAGAGCGAGGACAGTCAGCTGGCCCAGACCATGACGAGGACATAACGATGAGCCAAGTGGTGACCAGCATTCTGGGACCCCGTGCTTCAGAGTCGTGCTGGGTGTCAATCAAGGCCATCCATCTGGGCCCATTTGAAGGCATTCTGTATTATTGCCCTTATACTTTTGAGGCTCGGCATGGACGTCGTCAAAATTTGTACAGGGGCAAATATTTTTTTTTGGAAATCCTGCGAATTTGGGCAGAACTGCTGTGAAATTGCCTAGTATCTAGTGTAAACATCTTTTTTCCTAGGCGAGCGCGGTGATCATGATCTCTTTGGCTCTCCCCACAGTTACGTCCATGGGCTTCAGACACTAAGTCTATGATGATTTTCTGATTCAGTAGCTTCGACCAGGAGGAAATCCACTCATATCGGCCACGGTTCGAAAAGCCACGCATTTTTTCCATCGAACGCTACGGTATGCTGGACATATTTTTGTGAAAAGGCCATCTCAAGTTGCAAGTCGAGATATTAGGTGATTTGTGCTATCGCACTTGTGCCACGACACATTTGAAACCTTTTACAAGATTCGACGGTTATTACCGGACAGACCTCGGCAGCATGGAAAGCTTGAGATCTATAATGACCGTCAAAGAAGCAGTGCCAGACGAACGCCTTTGGACTGTACAGGTGAGCAGGAGGCCAGCCAGTGTCCGAGCGGACAACTCTGCTTTTGGGGCTTACTGCGGAAAGCCCGAAACCACTAGGGGTGCAGTTTTCTATTCAGCTGGAGGCAGTACCTTACCCCCATTTCTTCTCCAGAATTTGAAGAGAAAGTGGGCTTAATTCCGTGAGAAACATGTGTCACACGAATTTTGTATGTAAGTTTATTACGCCACTACTCGACAGCCCGTCGGTATGACGAAACTAACGCGCACAGTCCTGAGAAGCGAAAACATGAGAAACAGTTCCTTTTTAGATTAGTCATTGTCCTGAAACTTACCGGCCATGACGCACCAGTATATAATGGCGAAACGCATGCATCAAGTAAAACCTGGAATGTAAAATGCGGATGGTCAACATTCCGAGACATGTTCCGAGTTGACAGGGTTGTGCAATCATTAGACCTTACAACGCCAGGCACATTAAGCAGGGAAAGGATCCAGATCTATTCCGTAAGCAAATATTGATAAACAATAAGCTGTGCAAGCAAAATGCAATGCCCAGTGCAGCTCTCACCGCTTATACTATGTATATATATATATATATATATATATATATATATATAATATATATATATATATATATATATCTCTCTCTCTCTCTCTCTCTCTCTCTCTCTCTCTCTCTCTCTCTCTCTCTCTCTCATCTATTTTCTTATCTTATCTATATCTTAGATGATCCGTACCGAACAGGCTCAAGCACTGCAACGGGGTGATTGGAAAACACAAAGGTGACGCCGGCCGATGAGGATTGGCAATGCCGATCAACAGTGCTCTAACAAGGACACCGCGTGCACATGGTCGCGACCGCCGCGGACACATCGAAGTATTTTCAATTGGACACCGTAACTTTGCAAATAACCGCTGCGGCCGTCCCGCCGGTGTTGTGACACTATCGGGGGCGATCGATAGAGGAAAATAGATTCTCTTACTGGACAAGCGTGATGTACTCACACTTTTGCTCTTTACCAACGCTATCGTGTGCACACAGTCGCACTCTTCGCACGCGTTGGGAGTATTTTTCGCGGGCCTCCGCATTCTGTCCATCATGCTGCGGACATGCCGGCGACAGTCAGTAATGCGCCATCAAAGCGTTATTTGATGAAAAAAGCGGGGGGGGGGGGCAAAGCCGGCCGATGAGCGATTCTGATTGTCGGCCATCAGTGCCCCGACAGTGGCATCGAGTGCCATGGGTGCACTCGCCGTGAAGGACTGGAAGTAGTTGTTGGCCGCTGTTACTTCGCATACCGACCTGCGCCCTGTCTGCCGGCGTTGAGTGAGACGCTGTCAAACGGTCGACCGAATAAAATGGAAACCGGAATGATGAAAGTACGCATTGCTACGCATTACTCTATCAGTGATATGAAATGCGCACAGAAGCACTCCTCGCTCGCGATTTTAAGAACTTCCCCGCGCCGCCGTCTTCTGGCCACCGAGCCACTGGCGGGTTGGCAGCAGAAAACAATGCATGATCAATGGGGTGGTCTGATCATAAGGGTCACTTCGGAAGATTA